ATCAAGTATCAAGAATTTAATCTCAACAACTAAATGACCATGCACTGTGCGATTCATACTATCCCATGAGAGGTGCCAGTGTTGTCGAGGAATCAGACTGCACAACGACTGGACCCTCCAAGTGTTGCTTTGCCAATGCCATGTCTTGCATCAACGCGTGAATCTCAACTATAGAGCATCATTACAGTTGAATAAAACCCGGTATGCGGCAAAGATAACACTCCCATCCTGTCTCCGTAGGATCATACCTGCTGCCGCCGAACCATCGCCCGCTTAAAATGCTCCATCCACCGAAAGAGACACTTGATCCACAATAGGTGGTGGCCATGGAGGGGAAGGTGTTGACACCTTGATCACTGGCAAGGGAATGAAAATCTTTGCAAGACATTTTTCCCTTGATAATTCTTTCAACTACTTGCCATAGGATTTCCAACATCCACTCACACCTCTTTAAGTGAATTCTTTGTTTCTCCTATGATGCTGTCAATAAACAAACCAAAATCATGTAGGATTGACATGAGCATGACAATCTAATCCTATGTTTTTTCGATTTCCGCATTTTTAGAATCATGCGAATCAAATAGGCCCCCAAGCTTTATGAAGTTGGAGTCATTTTTATGTCCCATCAATAAAGTACAAGTGCATTAAAAAATGCAATTGTATAAGAAAAGTGCAATTGTGAAAAAAGTGCAACTGCAACAAAAATACCAAAGTCAAATTGAATACAAATTTTAAATTAAACGAAAATAAAATAAAATAAACATAAAGGAGTTGGAAAATTCGCACATTTTCCATTTTAGAATTCTAAAATTCGTGCATATTTTTTAAAAAGTTCAACAGCCCGTTTTTTCAGAGGAAAAACGATTGGAAAACTTGAGGATAAAAAACAGAACAAGATCGCTAATCAGAATAGTGCTCCACGTAATTTCAAGAAACAAAAAGAATAGTGCTCCACGTGTATTGTATATCGCGCCCCAACAGTTATCGGTATGGGTTCCTTCAACAATTTTGACGCAGTAAGTGACAAAATAGGGTTCTCGGGGACAGCGCTTTGTCTTAGCTTCGTGCGAGACGGAAGCGCCCCCTTTGGCTTCTTTTTTCTTTTTTTATTTAATTACTTTTATTAAAATTTCTGAAACGAAAATAATATTATGTCTAAATCGCTTGTACGTTCGTATTGTGTTAAATGTTTGCGCAACTTTTAGAAAATTTTTGATAGCATTAAAATTATGTTCGTGAAATTTAACAAATGTTTACATGTTCTAAATAAAAAATTGCTATTTTAAAACATTTATTCAGCATAAAAATATGTTCTCATAATTCAAAAAAATGTTTCTTACCATTAAAAATTGTTTTCGCATTTAAAAAATATTCACAGATTTCAAATATATTCTCGCGTTGTTTAAACAAAATATTTGTACCATTCAAATAAATGTGATCGCTTTCAAAAACATGTTCATAAAATATTTATACAATGCAAAAACTGTACGAATAGTTATAAAAGAATGTTCCGACCATTTTAAAACAAGTTCATAATATGTATTTGGAATAATGTTCATCACGTATTTAAAAAATGTTCAAGGTCTATCAAAACATTGTTCCAGATGTATACAAAAAATGTCCAACATGTATGAAAAAAATAGACATGTATTGAATAGAAAAGAAAACCAAAAACCATAAAAAGCAACTTGCCTACTACGAGATGGAGTACATGTCGCCGGAGCTATTTCTGACCTTTTGAGAGTCTTATGGTAGTTTCGCCTCAAGGGCTTTTCCGATCACGTCATTACTGGGCTGGCCTGTTTCTTCACTTTTTTCAGAAACTTTCAATCTATTCATCTTCAATCATGGCAGTACAGAGAACAACAGAGATAATAATTTTTTTAACCATGTCTATGGACCACCTAGCGACGACTACAAGCACTGGAGCAAGTTGAAGGTGTGCCTCTATCATCTCCCCTCCCTCACTGGAGCCGGACAAACCTTATTGTAGTAGACAGTCGGAAGGCATCGTGCTAAGGCCCCATAGGAGCAGCGTACCAGAGTAACAACCATCGTCGATGAAGAAAGTCGTAGATCAGAAGGATCAAACCTGTAAACACCCAAACAAGGACGAACGAAGAACGGATCGAAATTTGTCCAACGACGACCAGCACCACCAGAATCCCGTGAGATCCGACGGAGACAAACCTCCACATCTGTTCATCTCCAATCATGGCAGTAGAACAAACACCAGATATAATAAAAATTACGTCCAGATCCTTAGACCACCTAGCGACGACTACAAGATCCGTCATCGCCAGTCCATCGTCAGAGCCGAGCAGAACTTGTAGTAGTCCATCGAGAAGTCGTCGTGCTAAGGCCCCAAAGGACCAGCGCACCAGAACATCAACAGCCACCGATGAAGAGTAGCGTAGACCGGAATGATCCAACCTCAAAACATACGAACGTAGACGAACGATCAGATTGAGCAAATCCACCAAAGACAGATACACCAGAGACACACCTTCACACACCCATCGACAATGCCAGACGCACCACCAGGACGGGGGCTAGGCGGGGAGAACTTTATTCGGTCTTCAAGGAGTCACCACCATCTTGTCTTAATGAGCAGGAAAGAAACCCTAATAAAAGTCGAACAAACATCTAAAAGAGGAGCCCTCCCGCCGGCAAGGGTTGGGATCTACCATGCCTCATGGCCCTAAGGCCACCAGAAATGAGGCGGACCGGCATCGGCGCCGGCAGAGGAACCCTAATCTATTTTTGGGGGGAGGAGGTGGCGACTGCGTCCAAAATCACTTGCTCCTTCTTCTTTGTTGTCTACTAGCTAGACTGGTTCAGTTTTTCAATGTTCTTGTTGTTATTTCTTTTTCTATGTTTTTTCATTACTACTTTCATCGGTTTTGTCACATCCCTAGCTTCTGGCAATGCACTAGTGCTAGTCTTTGGTGACGCATCATGTTTACTTTTACAGAAACCTGAAATGGGGATTGCCTAAAATCTAGCATCAAAGGAATTCACTAGGTTCAACTAATTTTTTTTCAGTGAGTCCAAATGGCTTTCAAAAATGTTCATCATTTCTGGAAAATGCTAGAACCATAACCAGAGGTGTTGCACATTTTTCCATGACATATTTGGTCACTGAATTAAATCATATAGTATTTGCATTTGGGCATCTAAATGCTATTAAATAATTTAAATGCTCAAATAATCCCAAACTAAAATGTTAACTGTAGGATATATTTCCAACAGTGGTCATGAGCAATTGCATGATTTTTTGGATTGATTTAGTATTTTTAATAAAGCCACAAAGCTGTAGAAAAATAGAAAACAGAAAGAATTAGAAAGAGAGAGCGAGAGAGAATACCTGGCCACTTACCCAGCCCAGCAGTGCGGCCCACTGGCCCAACTACCAGTCATCATGTCCATCGCTCCAGTCGGACGCCGAGCGCGTGCCCGACGCGCGCGCACGGCCGTGCTGCCACGCCACCTGCCTGCCTGCCTGCGTCCCCGCGACAACGCAACGCCGCGGGTTTTCCTCCTCGGCGCCGTCCCGATCGATCCGACCTGTCATTCCTCCCCCTGCTCTCTCCCTCGCCATTCCCCATCTCACCGAACGCGTCCGCCGCCACCGACGAGCACCACCGCGGCCATCGCCTCTCCCTCGCCCCCTCGAGCAGTCCAGAAGCTCCGCCGCATCTTCCTCGTCCTCTCCATTGAGCTACACTGCGCCAGAGGCCCTGCATCATCGCCATCTTTGTCATCTTCGTCGCCGGCCGCCGGAGATCCCCTTCACCGCTGCGCTTGCTCTGGTGCTTCCCCGAGCACGCCGAAGCCACCACTGCATCCGCCGTGAGCCACTGACCATCCTCCCCCTCTCCGTTCTCTCTGCCACTCGCCATAGTCGCCGCACCAAGCACACCCGCTCGCATCGCCGCCTGAGCTCGCCGCCGACGTGGCTCCGGCCACGCAACGGCCCCATCGTCATTTCCACTGACCTCGCCGCATCTCGTAGGTCCCGTAGATGCCTCGCACACGCCGACTCGTCCGCCGTAGCCTCGATCCCGAGCTCACCCGAGCTCCGGCAACCGCCAAGGTCATCGCGGGCGACAACTCCGGCCACCCTAGGCCCAACCGCCACCACCACTCGATGCGGACGTGCGTCCGCATCATGTAGATGCCCTCCGCCGGCTGTTTGGTCGCCGGAGACGCAAACCCGAGGCTCGCCACCGTGGCTGGCCTCGCCGGCGTCATGTCGCCGGTGGATTTGACCCCACTGACCCGGGTTTTGACCCTGTTTGACTTCCCCAGGGTCGCTGATAGGTGGGCCTGTGCCCCTGCTAATTTAGGTTAAGTGCTAACTAAACATAATTAGCCCTGTTAATACTGACATGTGGGACCAGGGCCTTAACTGGTCTAGTTTAGTATTAGTTTAGAGCTAATTAACTCAGGTTAATTAGTTAGACACTGACATGTGGGTCCCAGCCGTCAGGTTTGACCTGGGCTGGTGCCTTTGACCTGCTGATGTCACTCCGACGTCATGCTGACGCAGATAACCTTTTCTGGATTTATTTTTAATTTAGGAATTTCAGAAAATATCCAAAACTTCTAAAATTCATATAAATTCAACCGTGACTCCAAATAAGATAAATTATATATGAAAAATGATCAGAAAAATCCAATCTATCCATCTGTACCATTTTCATGCATGTTAGAACAACTTATGACTACTGTTTAGGACAAATGAAATGAATGGCATTTGAATATCCACATATGGAGTTTGAATTTGAGTCTTGGATTCAAACCAACTCCATTTAATCTGTTGCTAGCTGCATTAGCTCAAATCACAGCATATTGACATGTCATGATCATGCATCATATTATGCATTGCATTGATTGTGTTCTTCCTTGTTTGCCGGTGTTTGTCCCCTCTCGATAGACGTGGTTCCGACGATGAGTTCGATGACACCGATGAAGAACTATACTATCTTCAGAAGTGCCAGGTAAGCAAAACCCCCTTGTTCATTCCGATACAATCCTACTCTCTCGCTCCTGCTCTCTTTTACTGCATTAGGACAACAACGATTCTTCTGTCACTTGCTGCGGTAGCTGAACCCCTTTATCCTCTGCATGACCTGTCATTGCCACAGTAAATAGATGAAACCCACTAGCATGAGTAGGAGTTGTTTGATCCCTGTTGTTCCTACTCATTCATACTTGTTTGTCATGCCTGCTACTGCTTAGAGTTGAGTCAGGTTTGATTCATCAGGGATGAATCAGAGGTGTGTGAACATGTCCTACTGTGTGTGAACTAAGTGTGTGAACACGATTTGGTAAAGGTAGTGGTGAGAGGCCATGTAGGAGTACATGGTGGGTTGTCTCATTGAATACGTCCTCAGGAACTGAGTTCTGTGTTTGTGATCCATGAAACAGCTACTACCATGCATTGGGCCCTGAAATATGACCCCGCTCGACTTCTTAATCACCCTTGTCCTCTGTCTAGGAGTTGCAAGTAGTTTCTGGTGTTTGTAGTATGCTGGAGGCCGTGCGCAGCGCTGACCGGAGGGGTGGGCTGTGATGCAGTAGGCACGTGGCACGGTGTACCGGGCGCCCGTTTGGTGTCTGAGGAACCCTGCACACATCGTTCGGGGCCGTATGTGGAAACTTTGGCCGGACTCCCTGCGGATGGAACCTAAATAGGCGATAAACCTGGACTAGAGACTTGACTGTTTAGGTAGGTCGTGGTCTACACCCACATTGGCTTTCGCTTGAAGTCTGCCGAGCACATGTCGTGTGCAGACGCTAAGTGGTGGAAACATGTATGACGAAGTACACCCCTGCAGGGTTAACATCATCTATTCGAATAGTCGTGTCCGTGGTAAAGTACTTCTGGGTTGCCTATAACAGTTCATAGACAAGTGAAAGTGGATACTCTAAAATACGCAAGATAAGAGTGAGTGCTATGGATGGTGTTCTCGTAGGGAGACGGGAGCGGATCCATAGTGGTGTATTGATATGGTGAATATGTGGACTCGTGTGCGCCACCTCAAAAGAGTTACTTGCAATCATAGTTCAGGATAGCCACCGAGTCAAAGCTGGCTTGCTGCAGTTAAACCCCACCATCCCCTTTGTTGATAATGATGCATATGTAGATAGTTCTGATGTAAGTCTTGCCGGGTACATTTGTACTCACGTTTGCCATTTTATGTTTTTGCAGAGAGACTTTAGTCTCACTAGTAGTTCCACGTGGACTTCGACGTTTAGCTTGTTACCTCAGCTACGATCTTGTGCCTCGGCAGGATCTGGTAGATAGTCAGGCTTCTCAGCCTTTTTCATTTGTAGTTGTGTGTACTCAGACATGTTAAGCTTCCGCATGTGCTTTGACTTGTATGCTCTGAATGTTGGGTCGTGAGACCCATGTTTGTAATATCTCGCTCCCCGGAGCCTATTGAATAAATACTTGAGTTGTAGAGTCATGTTGTGATGCCATGTTGTATTTGCACATATCAAGCATATTGTGTGTATGTTATTGAAATGCTTGGTATGTGTGGGATCTGACTATCTAGTTGTTTATCCTTGGTAGCCTCTCTTACCGGGAAATGTCTCCTAGTGCTTCCACTGAGCCTTGGTAGCTTGCTACTGCTCCGGAACACTTAGGTTGGCCATCATGTGTCTTTCTTCGTTCCCGTGTCTATCCCTTCGGGAAAATGTCACGCGGTATCTACCGGAGTTTGTTAGCCTGCTACAGCCCGGATTCACTCGCTGATGACCGACACGTTCGTTGTTGAGTCATGTATGCCTGTCCCTCTAAGTTAGTGCCACTTTGGGTTTACGACTAG